GTGCGCGCATCCCCGACCATTAGAAGGGTTGCGTTCACAAATAATATATATCGAACTGGTTTTCGTTCTGGTTCACGTGACAGTGTTTCGAGCGTAGCGTGGCGCGTAATTTAAACAAAACGACATTATATCACCAAGTGTCTAATGTTAACGATTAACGGTCTAAACTAACACTTTTTGTAGTTTACTTAAAAATTAATCCGGTAACAAACATTTTAACTTCGTTAACCCTTCTTTGCATGGTGATGGAAATTTCAATCATAATATTTAGTCAACAAAAAAAGGTACTCAAAACCCTTGTACTGTAAATTTGTTGTTGGTGGCAACTTTTTAAGCGACTATTGCGTACAAGAAAACGCAGTTGTTAAAAAATAGCAAACGTCCCTGTGAATTATCAGCCCTAGAACTTGTAATTCCGCTGTTTCTTGTGACTGGAAGAAAGGAGCGAGATTTTAAATTTTTTTTTGGAAATAAACGGAGATATAAAAATACAATAAAAATGAAAATGAATGGAAAAAAGGTTTGTTTTCATGTTTTTATTATTTTATGTACAATTTACATCAAAACACTGTGAATAAATTTCTGAAAATTATGTGATGGAAATTTACGTCACTATGCAGTAACTTCACTTGTAATGTATGGCAAACATTTTTTTGTAAATGTTTATTTTATGTTGTTTTTTAGGGAAACTTGAATGAAAGAGATATTGAAAATTATCTTAGTTAGTAAAAAGGCGATTGGCTCTCAGAAGATGGCCTTGAGGACCAAGATTCCGATGATGAAAACCGCGATGCTGATGAAGTTATAAGAGTGTTGCAAGAGGAGAACGATGATGATGATGATGTTGATGAAACTGCTGACATTGATCTTCCTCTGGTAGAAACAGAAGATCAAGAACCCTCTCACCCATCAACTTCTTCCAACATTTATAGAATATGATTTGTATAAGTTCTTTGGTATATTATTATACATGTCAGTAATCAAATTTCCTAGCACAAGACCATACTGGTCACCAAAGTTTGGATATGAGCCCATTTCTTCAACAATGCCACTGAACAAGTTTGAGAAAATAAAGTAATCATTACATTTTAATAACGATGATCTTCACAAACCTATAGGTCATCCAGAACATGACAGGCTGTATAAAATCCGCCCTGTTATCAAACCTCTCAATGAGAGCTTTGCCACAGTGCCAATGAATCAAAGACTTTCTGTGGATGAACAGATGGGTTCTACCAAAATAGGGAATTTTTTTAAAAGTATCTGCTTTAGAAGCTCCATTTATGGGGCTTCAAATTATATGTTCTCTGTGATTTGATGGGATATGCCCACAAGTCTGAGGTATATTCTGGACAAGGGAATACAGAGAAACTCCCAAATGAACCAGATCTTGGTGCAACAGGAAATGTTGTAGTTCTCTCTGTAGTAACTCTTTGATTGTTTATAAAAAAAAACTCAAGAAAGAGGTAAACCTAAAAAGAGTCTGCTTACAATGGGACAATTCAGAAATGAATTGGCCTTTGTGCTATGCAACAGAGGAACCACCAAAGAAGCTAAAAGTGGGCGTCCTAGTATCAGTGTACTAGAAGAAGAATTACAATCAAAAAAAGAAAAGGTTCTCTGGCTCCACCACCTCCAAAAGACATAAGAAAAGATGGTGCTGAACATTGGCCAAATGTAGGTGGCTCACTCCGGTGCAAATTTCCCAAATGTAAAGGCTATTCCACAATTTCGTGTAATAAATGTGGCGTCAATTTGTTCTAAAATAAGAATAATAATTGTTTTTTAAATTATCATAAGGAATAAAGAAGATTGAGTAAACTATATTTTTTATTTATTTAGTACTGAGCTAAATATGCGACAATGCATGATGATGTAAATTTCCATCATATTGTTTTTTACATAATACATATTTTCATTTACACTAGAATTTTTTTTAATATTTTTTCTTTAATCTAGAGCATTAATTACATCACCCTGATTTATTTTAAAAAAATAGAAAAAATCATGCAAAGAAGGGTTAATTAACGATTAACGGATTAACGAGTTAATGCCCACCTTTGGCAGCTAGTTGTAGTTATTGAAAAAAATATAATAGATTTTTTTCGTTAAGTATTTATATTTCTGGTTGTACAAACAGTTATCAT